CTTAGTATAAGTCGTAAACGTCAACTTGGAAATTTACATTTTTTACAGATAACAAATTATAGGGTTTTCCACCACACTACACTGACTGCACCAGTGTAAATYTTTATGTTACATCGGTAACATTATTTTGCACTGAATGAACTTTTTTATGTTTCACCTCAATTACCACACTAGTTTTTTACACCCAGTGCAATGATAAGTACCACAATACCACGATTAAATATAGTATGGTCATATCTTTCATATATTTGTGGTATAGTTGCCCATMTATCCTTGTGATAAGGAAGCCAGTGCTGCAGTCAGTGCCACAGCCTTAGATCTAGATCATATACTGGCTCTAGGTTATTCTGGCTTCAAGAATTAGCTCGATRGCTACATCCATAGTAAATGATCTAAGGCCAAGGCCCACGACGTAGAGAAGATCATGGCCAATACAGTGAATCTCACTTTTTYACTATAGCAGCGCTCCATGTGAGCAAAATAATGTATACACGCGATTCGCGGGACCAAACGGATGGTTAAACGACGAAAGTTTTTGGATTCTAATTAACTAAAGACAATAGTTTTAATACATTACAMAAAAATTTTTAATAATAATATATTAATGTATAGTAATATAGTTGATTGTTAAATTATATTTACATGGTAAAATATCAAATGACAATAATTAATATGTTTAAACTGTTTAAAGTATTATTATATTTTTATATCAGTTCTACCCATATTAGAAACTATCTTAAATCGTGTCTTTAAGCAGGTAAAAGTAGTCTGTATACTCTTTATTTTCTTCGCTAAAAGTGTTACAGTATTTTTAGCAGKATAAGCAATTTTAGTGTTTTACCATAGTCAATGCCTTTGTTGTGTCCAATGTCCATGGACAACCATATTATCCAGTATCAGGCCTAAAGTTGTATTAATGCATTAATATATTTTATATTGTTAACTTTGTCACATTTATTTTTGTATTTCTCTCATTGTATAAAATTAATTCCTAGTTTCTTAAAGCTGTTTAATTATGGATTCTGAGCAGTTGTTAAATTTTTTGGGTATTAAATGTTCCATTAGCACATGAGACCTGAGTAAAGAAAATAATATTGATCGTCAAAAAATAATTGGTGTTATTAATARCATATTGACATTGGGAAATATTATTAYTGTTGATCCAGTAATAAGCAAATATTGGGAACTTACTGATGAAGAAGAATCAATTTTATTGGATGGTAATTATGAGGTAAACCCGTAAACCTATTTAACGCTATTCCATCYGATGGGATACCTCAAAAGGAGTTAATGCCAATATCAAATGCAAAAATTGGTTTTAGCCAGGCAATGTCTAAGGGTTAGATAGTCATTGATGGAGCAGTAAACAAAGTGATGAAAGTTGATTCAGTTGTTGATAAGGTTAAAAATGATTTGATGGAACTGAAAGCATCTCATGATCAAATTTCTGAATCTAATAATAACATTTTTTGAACTGAAATGGAATGACTGAAATCAAATTTAAGCATATTTACAATCCATACACAGAACCTAGTTAGGAAATATTTTGTTATTATCAAGGACTCAAAAAATGGATTGAAATTGGCAATTCTGGAATGTTTCATCCTGAAATGCTGTTACCAAAATGGGATTAGCAGAAAAAGTAAATGTTATAGCTTAGGGATTATCATTAGAGAGACCAACTATGATTAAAT